TTCTCTGGAGTCACCTCTTTGTTGCTGCTTCTACTGGAGAAATGCTGGTTATGCGTCAAGGTGAACTCTCCAGCTGAGTCCTTTCCCCAGCAGTCATCACTGCTCTGGTCTCCTCAGACGAGATTAGAGGGTGCACAGAGCCATCAGCCCTGACCTCCTGTGCTCCACAGGCCACTGGAGAGCACCTTGCTGCCCCTGAAGCAAGTTCCAAAGTTGTACTATATACCTTCTGGAAAGGCAGCTATTTTCTGTTGTCCTCAAACAGCTGGAAACCCACCAGTTCCTTGGAGGGCTGTCTAGGCAATGAGTTGGCCTGACTTAAACAAGGGTTCCCTAATTCCAGTTTGAGTTTTTCTGGCTTCAGTTTCCAGATTCCAGTTTTTGTGATGGCTTTGCTCTCTTATTTAAAGAGTATTTCAGAAGCTGGCATCCAAATTCAATGCACGATCAATGAGCAAGGTTGCTGGCAGGGAACCATATGTAAGCATTTTCTTTATATGTTCTTCACCACTGCCTCCAAGGAAAATTATGCAGTGTCCACAAGTCACCTCACCTTGAAATGCCTCAGATGCTCAGTCATATCTACAAAGTAAAATGCCATCCAGCATATTGGTGTGCTTCTATGGAGCTGTCTGTACCAGAAATGCTACAAGGCCCTGATACCCTTTTTTGTATTACCTATAAAGACCAAATCCAGCTCAGAAGCTGTCCTCTGTCTTGATTTTTTTTTAAATTGCTTTAATAGTTTTATGGCCATAATTAACTCAGTGTTTGATCAAGGGGATATGACTGTAGTTATACACTGTGAGGCAATGGTCTGAACAGCTGAGGCACCACATTTTGATTAGTAGTGGCAGACATTGCTCCTTTAGTTTGAAAACTGCAAAGTTATTCTTTTTCAGCCACACAAAACAAACCTTTTGAGCATTCCAGACCTTCCTCACATAGATATTTTCTTACAGCTACTGATCCCATCACAAAAGGAGCAATAGAGTGTCTTGAACAAAATTTCTTTGATCTGTTTTAATTAATTCAGTAGTTCTTACCTTTAAGGATGTGACCATGTAATGAATAAACAGCAGCAATTTTCAGAATAAGGGGTTTTCTTTCAACTACTGTGGTCACCAGAAATGGCCTCTATTCTTAATTCTTTTCAATTCCCTTGTGTGTAACTGAAACTAAAACTTAGATAGAAGCTGGACAGAGGGCTTTGAACATCAGTTCTGTGATCAGCTATTAAAGCAGTCCTACAGAGGGATCTGGACAGGCTGGATCAAATTGCTGAGGGCAACTGTATGAGGTTCAACAAGGCAACGTGTCAGGTCCTGCACTTGGGTCACAACAACCTCATGCAGTGCTACAGGCTTGAGGATGAGTGGCTGGAAAGCTGCCCAGCAGAAAAGGACCTGGGGGTGCTGGTTGACAGTCAGCTGAACTTGAGCCAACAGTGTGCCTAGGTGGCTGAGAAGGCCAACAGCATCCTGGCCTCTATCAGCAATAGAGTGGCCAGCAGGAGTAGGGAAGTGATCGTGCCTCTGTAGTCAGCACTGATGCGGCTGCACCTCGAATCCTGTGTGCAGTTTTGGGCCCCTCACTACAAGAAAGACATTGAGGTGCTGGAGCGTGTTCAGAGAAGGGCAACGAAGCTGGTGAAGGGTCTGGAGAACAGGTCTGATGAGGAGGGGCTGAGGGAACTGGGGTTGTTTAGCCTGGAGAAAAGGAGGCTGAGGGGAGACCTGATCGCTCTCTACCTGAAACTACCTCAGCTACCTGGAAGGAGGGTGTAGTGAGGTGGGGGTCGATCTGTTCTCCCAAGTAACAAGTGATAGGACAAGAGGAAATGGCCTCAAGTTGTGCCAGGAGGGGGTTAGATTGGACTTTAGGGAAAATTTCTTTACCCTAAGGTTGTCAAGCATTGGAAAAGGCTGCCCAGGGAAGCGGTTGAGTCATTGTCCCTGGAGAGCTAGATGTGGCACTTAGGGACATGGTTTAGTGGTGAACTTGGCAGTGCTAGGTTAATGATTGGATTTGATGATCTTAAATGTCTTTTCCAACCTAAATGATTCTATAATTCCATAAATTCAGCTATATTCAAACACTGCATCCCTGTTTTGTCTGGGGAAGTGCCTGCCAATTCATTTTTCTTCTCTTATCAACAAAGCCCATATACTGTGCTTATGTTTCTTAATACAAAATAAAGAGAAAATCCCCAAGCTGTCAGGAGGTCTGTTAGCTTAAATACAGCCCACATCTTTGCTCTCATCCCATTGCATACTTTCATTTGCTCTCAATTGGAAAAAGCAGATCTACCTACCTATGATCTTTCAAACTGCCAATCATCTGAATCTTTCAGATTTTGCCGAAAGACTTCTTTAAATAAAGAGTTTTATCATGGGCTCAGCATCAGCAGCTGTACTTTGTTTTAAAAGTATGTTTTCTTAAAAAAAGAGTCTTTGAAGATGCAGTCTGTTTTCAGCTCTGTAATAATTGCAGCAACCTGATTGGGTTCAGTTCCTCTGTTTTGGATGACAGTGTGGTACAGTGGATTGTCCTGGTGTCCATCAGGATTTATTGCATATATTGAAGGAGTGAATGTTTGAAATAAATTCAAATCTGTTACAATTTTCTTGCTTTAAAATAAAAAATAAAAAATGACATGTCTCTGCATTTCTAACAGGGAAAAGTAATTTTGTCTTCCCAACGCATTAAAGCAGCATGTCTGTACATTGCTTAGGCACAGTCCTTCCTCTCAGTATTACATGGGTTAAACATAAATTTCATCACAAAAAGGAGGACAAAATAATAGGCTGTCTTCAGTGCTTATCACTTCTGTTACATCCCATGGCCTTCGTACCGTCCAGGCGTTAATGGCAGAGAATAAATGGTATCCTCCTGAAGGCTGCTCACCTGCCTGCCCTTCCCCACTCGCTCTGCACAGCTTCCATGGTTAACCTTTGGCGAGTCATTCACACTTACTTTTGGGGACTTTCTAATTCTATTGAAACTGCTAAATCGTTGTTGATCTGGTTTGCAGCCCCTTATTCCTTCTCCTTCCCGAGATCATCTCAATTCTTGTATGGTGTTGTGACATCAAATCACAGAAAAGTACTTTGTGAAAAAAAGAGGATTATTAATTGAATAACAGTATGATCTGTTAGTTAGGGGACCTGTTACTCAGGGCAGAAGTGTGGGTGTTTCTTTGGTTGAGACACTAAAGAAGTTTAGGTCCCACTTCCTACTTGACCAGTGGCTTTGGCAGTCATAGACAAGACAGACTTCTCTCCATCTTTTGGACAAGCATGACAAATCTAGCTGATCTAGCAGTCACTTGGCCAAGCTAGCATGAGTCACAACAGCGTGCAAAGAGGTGAGATGTGTTAGCTCTAGTACCTTAGCAGTGCGTGGTTTCTTGACTCAAGTACTTAAAGATATAGAGAGCAGAACCGGCCCACATGCCTACCACCAGCTGTGGAGCTGCAACCTTGCTTTCTCTGTGTCCTGCTCCCCATCAGTAAGTAAGTAATTTCAAAAGGGAAAGGTCCTGGTAGTTTTTCTACTGATGTGTTGCAGAGCCTTCAGCAAATCAGCTTCAGATTCTCCATCTATACAAGTTTGACATTGATGCATATCTTTCTGTGCAGTGTACTGTGAGATTTGGGGACAAAAAATGCTGTAGGAGACTTAGTGTACTTAGTCTTAACTTATTTGTTGTACCTAATCCAAACTAGTATTTGAGCTTCAGGGCAGAAACTGGAAATTAATCTCTCTTTTGTTAAACTACTGTAGGCCCATCAACAGCAAACTAATGAAACAAAACAGAATATTTCCTCCCCTCAACCTGCGCCACCATGCTAGTGGGGGTATGCACTCTTACACAGCAACTCAACCTCCAACGGTGGGCTCGCAAAGCATGCCCCTAAACTGCCATCCTCCTCAGCTTTTTCTAGTCCATGTTTTACATACTTATGCTATCACAGAAGATTAGATAAGATGCGGCATTATGGCTGTTTTCCACATATCCACAAGACCATTTTCAGAGAATCATAGATAATAATACAGGTTGGAAGGCAGCTCTGGGGGTCATCTAGCCCAGTCTCCCATTCAAAGCAGGGAGAATTTTGAAGTTAGATGAGGTTGCTCAGGGCCTTGTCCTGTTAAGGTTTCTGAAACCTCTCTGGGCAACCTGCTCCTGTGTTCAACCACTCTCAGTATTTTCTTTCGTATACCCAAATAAAATTTCTTTTGTTGCAACTTGTGCTCATTGTTTTTTTTCCCTCTTCTTTATGACCTACAGACTTCTTTTTTGGGGGTCTTGGGGTTACCTTGCCCAAATAGAATTTTTTCAGAAGTTTTCTGTATGATGTATACTTCCCTAGGAAATAGGGGTTGGTTGGTTGGTTGTTTTCACATTATACACAGTAAATTCTTAAAAAATTATTTAAATGGAGGCAGAGATTTTTAAGATAAGCCATCAAAAGTCAGATTCCAGAGAAACTCGATCAGATCTGGCACATATTTTGCGCAAGCTCCATTCATCTCCTTCTGCCTCCTAAAGACACTTCATTTTTGAACCAATTCTAGTGGTATGCGCTTCAGAAATTTAAAATTGCATTAAAAAAAGTTCCTTGTTTAAAGCAGAAATATTATACAAGTGAGAGAAGGGGCAGAGCAATTAAAGTATGTATGGGACTAGAAAGATGAGCCAAAGGAAACATGCTTGATAATTTGCATGCAAATGAGCAACTCTGGACATGATTAAGGAACCGCATGATATAAAGATACCCAATGTAGGGAATAATCCAATCTGTCAGAGCTCCAGGACAAACAGTGCAGCAGGATGTCACAGAGTGGAAAGAAAAAGCTGGAAGTAAAACAAAAATGTGTCTAAATTAATGCTGGTCAGGGCCATTAAGGGCTGTTAGTGCCCTCAGGGCCCCAACACTCCTCCTCAAATCTCTAATAGTGTTTTCTAATCAATGCATTTCTGTTGATCCTCCCAGGTGCTGAAATTCGTCCCTGAGGCTGGGCATCCCAGAAGAAGAGGCAGAACCAGAAACAACATGGCCTTAGTAGATATACAGCTGGATCATCATGAGCGTTGTGATTGTATCTGCAGTTCAAGACCACCCCGATAAAAAAAAATAAAAATAAAAGGAAAAAACCAAGACACACTAATTGCAGCTTACCGGACATTTACTTTTAAGCAGGATTGCTCTGAGGACCTTTACTCACTAATCATTTGAACTTTGCTACTAGCCTGCCTTTGCAATTAGCAAAAAAGATCGCTGTGTTTCAGCATAGCTGTGCTGATTAGTGCCATGGCAGATAAACAGGTATATCATAGATTTATGTATCAGCATCCAAGAATATAAGATTATGGTTATCTGTAGCTAGATTCTGAGGATTGAGAAAAAGCTCACTTACAGTCCTTAGGTACACAATGCCCACTGAAATTAAACACCAGTTGTGTAGGTATTTGTGGTAGCTGGCAATGAAATAGCGTTTTTTCTGTTTCTCACTCACCAGTTCCTACACTCAAATTCTGCTGCCATTTCTACCTGCTTAACTGTCCTGATGCTTAGCAGGGTTTTGTGGGTATAAATGAAGACGGAATTTGAGCCTATATGAGTTTTAAATGGTTCATCCCACTCTGAGAGGGAACTTCCCAGCGTTCTGGCCCAACAGAGTGAGATATAATGAAGAAAATCCATAACTACATGAAATAACACGCCAGTAAAGTCAAATCTCACTGTTTGTACTTGAGCAAATCATGTGCTGAAATTAGTAGGCGCTTTGCATAAGCTGGGACACTGGTGGTGGTAGGGGGGTGCGGAGGCTGGTACTTTTGCCATGGTGACTCCACATGAGCCGTCAGCCAGGTGCTTTGGCAAGAGGGGGCTCTGTGGGCTGGGGCTGATTCTGGTCACTACCTATCTGGACTGTACTCCTGCCTCTTGCCTAGAGCTGCCCACAGTTGCCCAGGAGAAGCCCCCACTACAGAAAAAGGGAGAGACAACCCTCCCTTTACATCCTTCTCACTGCAGTTCGAGGAGTGCTGTGTTTCCCCGTGCAGGCAATGAAGATAGGGCACTTGTTTGTTGAAAATATTGATTTGTTTTGCAGTTGTGTTACTGGGAAACAAAACTGTGCTTGAGATTTAATTATCATTATTTGGTTTGGGGTTTGTTTGGTTTATATGGATTATTATAACTTTGTCATATATGCATTAATCTTAGTTATCTGAGGTTAGTTGTCTCATTTTCAGCTCTGTGTATAGCCATGGTTAAACTGTTGACAGTGAATTTCTTTTTGATTGCATTTTGCTGAGGCATATTAACTCATTAAGCAATGTCTGTCTGTCATGGAAAATGTGCATCATTTAATAATTTCCAGAAGAATATTATTAAACACCACCTCATAATAAAATAAGCACTTTAAAAGCTTCAGCATAGCTTCCTATGCCTTTTAAAATATTATGAAAGTGCTATAACTGAAAAAGGAAAAAAAAATCCTTCCAAACTAGCTTTAAAGGATTTTTAATGCTGCTCTGAACGTGTAAAATACAGACAGATTTAAGTCTGGCAAAGAATTGGGAGTTTTGATCATGAATGTAACAGAGGGAATGGGGTGGCACATTTAATGGCTGAGGTTTTATATTTAAAAGCAGACATAGGCTGCATTGATTCATCTTATTTGTGTTGCCTCTTGTTCTTCTGTCTCTGAAACAGTGAAGTAGTTTGACAGTAGTGCATTATAGTTAGTGGAAACTGGCATGTGCTATAGCATAATATTAAGAACCTTCAAGCCAGAATGTTTTAGCAATCTACAATTTCGTTACAAAAGTGCCCTAATATTCTAACTTACTCTCTTTATCAGCTCAAGTATTTTATAAGTGCTTTTTTATATTTTTAGCAAAACTTTACTAAAACATCCCTTAGAAATGTTACGTTACTTTCTTTCCTGTACTTTAACCTTTGAGATTCAAAAAGTGTGGCATTTTTATTATTTATATTAATTTTTCCTCTCTAGCTCCCAGATGTCTATTTAAAAATGTTCCTAAGTGCTGACTTGGGAAGTGATTCATCATTTTTCAAAGCAATTCACATTAAAAGAACAACACTGTAACCAAAGATTGCCAGCGTCATTTTGTAGTTCAGGACTGTTTAAAGATGACTTCACTCTTTTTCTGTCTCTAGCTTAATAACAAGATTGGTTCAGCCATTCCATAATATTTAGCTAATTTTGAAAGAAATTTGCATGAGAGACCTTGGTAATTCTGATATTGGTTTTGAGACAGTGCACTCCAATGTATATTCCTGATTGAATTATGCCCAAATTATGCCTCTCTAGCAAATTATACTCTCGCCTTGTAGTTAGCGTTGATTGTAGGAAACATCAGTTTCATATGGCTTTGTGCTTTGAGTGGTCTAATTCCCACCCTCCAGGTGAAAATGTGCACCAGGCATCCACTGCACCTCCCACACACCTCTGCCTGCCCCCTCCAGTCTCCACCCAAACAGTCATGTGTTGGGAGGGGTATTAACACCTCCTAATTTGGAGGATCCAGCCTTGACTGGGAGCCTGAGTTACCACTACAGGCAGTTGGGAGAGAGAGGTTCTTCTAAAGTGTGTCTGAGCTCCCAGGTTGAAGTTGCCCAATGTGGGAGCTTTTCTTTCTCTCTTTCGGCTGTGTAGAAACATCAGAAATCTGATTTGGGCATCTTTGAGATACACCAAAGTAGATGTTGTGAATACTCATTTTAAAGACTGAACAGCAAATAGTTTAGCTGACTGAATTAGATACAGGCAGCAATGGATGCCAGGGTCTGGCAGAAAAATTCATCTGTAAAGAAAAAAGAAGTTGGTATAATAGGGATTATCATCTTGCTTCATGTTAGGTTTGCTTTCTTAAGTATAGGCTAAACTTGTCACAAAATTTGAAGTATTACTCCTGAGACACTTAATAATGAGTGGAACCATTCAGTGCTTCATGCTGCCATCTGCCATACAGACAGCATTCTCCTGGCCAGTGCAGGAGAGTCAAGGATGGGCTTTATGTTGCAATGTGGGGATGGTAACATACATGTGAACTAAGAAAAATTCCCAAAACCCCGAGCCCCAAGCTGCAGTGACCCTGGTGAAACCAAATACCAGCAATACTTTTCTTTTTTATTTATTAGCAGAAATTGCAGAGATGTTTTTCCATACCTTTATTTTCTCTTTTGTCTATGTAATTGTTATGTTGTTTACATACTATTTTAACTTAAAATGCAAAGCTATTAAAAAAACCCTAATGTGGTTTATTTTTATTGGTGGAATTGGAACCCCCCAAAATAAATACATTTTCAAAGGAAATTCAGAACGATTCCTAATTTCAAACCACTCACTAGCTTTTCATTTACTGTATTCTTCTGGGATAGAGCCTACTTTCTCAAGTGCAATCTATACATATTTTTTTTGTTATCTCAGTTAAATGCAGCTTTCCTAGCAGTATTTTTCACTTTATGCAGTATGTAATGTGTCTTACCTTGTTGAAAAAATAAATACTGCTTTTGAAAGAAGATTCTCTGAGTGATTATTCAGAATTCAGATGAACCAAAACCTGTGATTTACTGGAATACATTTCCACAACATGACACCATCCATGTTAGGTCTCCTTGTGAATTTCAGCAGTCATTCTCAAGAGCATCAGGGAAGTAACAAAGTGCAATTTTGAGATAACTGAGTTTGAACCCCCGAGCTGGAAGAGCTGACAGCTTCCTTGCGAAGCAGCAGCAGCGTGACAGCAGCGTAGCATTTCTGATAGCCAGATTAGGGCAATCCCCCGGATTTAGTGCTGGTCTCAGTCCTGGCGGGCTTGGCTTGGCTCCAGCAGAGATGTCCTCGCTTGTCCTACTGAAACTGCTCCTTACCAGCAAAGGAAGCTCCTCATGAAGCTCTGTATCTCACCTCAACCAGGGCAGAGATCCAACTGCTCTGTGCAGGACAGCTGGAGGAACCTGAAGCCTCTCGAGATGGGGAGGTTTAATTTACCCTTGTGAGTTCGAGACTTTTCCCTCAGCTTTCGCAGAAGCAAATTTTGTTGTATTTCGTCTGGAACATAATTTTCATAGCCTTGGTAACTAACTTTCAATGTGAGGTTCTTGTGTTAAGCTAAAGCTGCCTTAGGCCTTCACTGGACCTTGGACTGAATAAGGACCTGCAATTTTTGCCAAATTAATTCTTCACTAGCTAGATGCCCTGTCTGATAAGGGAAACACAGATAGCATGCAGTCTGGGGACCCAACTTTGCAACCTCTCCTCATGCATATGCCTGCTTCTGTATGGTAATGCCACCAACTTGGAACAGTCAGCTGTTCATATGAGCATATTTATCCCCTTTGGTTTGGTCCTAGTTACTCAGAGAAAGAATTCATGTCTCTTTCCTTTTTTTTTTTTTAAAAAAAAAAAAAATCAGAAGAGACATTTCATAACAAAGGAAGCAGTGCTCTTTTGTACAGTGAACAAGGACATATTTAATAGATGGAGTGGACACTTTTTGCCCTTCAGAAATGCACTGAATGCTCAGTGTAGACAGCAGCTCAGCAACTGCTAAGTATTCAAGGATGGCATGAAGCTCCTCCCACCCAGCATTGCTATGTGCCTATATAACTAACTGCTAGCAAACATTATCAGTTTGTCCTTGTGCTCACAAGAGTGAAAGCTTTTATAAATCTGTAACATGAAAAGTAGCTCTGTATCTCTTCAGCTGAAAATGTATATTTGGTTTCTGAGGTCATTCGGTATCTCACCATCACCTGTTCTACAAAATAATGTATTTTTAAAACAATCTTCTTCCCATTTTTGAAGAACGCAGAGTCATCTTCTAGCTGATCTTAAGATCTGCAACAACTGTAAAAATACTTCCCTGAAAATTCATTTAAGATTTCCTTAGCTCTTTTCTGGAGTGCATTGCCCAGTCACACTGCTGTAACGCAAATTCAACAGATGTCCAATTTGTATTTATTCTCCCTGGGACTCCAGTGCAGCTGCTAATGAAAATGCAGAAATTAGTATTCTGGTCTCTCATTCTAGGAACTTTAACTTTGTCTATTGATAGTCTTGGTCAGATATGCTGAAATACATAACATTCATA